ATGGTGCACGCAGAGTCGCCCGTACCGGCTCTCCGATCCATCAGACCCTATATTATGTACCAGTGCTTTGGAATACGGTTAACACAATCGCGGGTGAAATCGGATGGAGTTTCACACGGAAGGACGAAAAACTCGATACCCCCGGGAAAAACTAAAAACATCGAGTTACCCCCGCGTCCCGGAAACTCGAGTCGAGGCTTTTCCGGTCTCCCCGCTCGGTGATCTAATGAGAAAAAAAAAAAAAAAAAAGCGTTCCTTCGCGAAGGAGTAAGTATACGGATGACACCGCGTCGTCCAAAGCAACGGGGACCTCCCAAGGCGCGCGTGTACGATAAATAGAGCGGCATGAAGTTTGAGAAAACAAGAGGAGCCGGGAACAGGAGTGAAAAAAGAGAGAGAGAGAAGGACGGCTCCTTGTGTTTCCAAGAGAGAGAGAGTCCAGGGAGCCAGCGACGCAATTTCCAAAATAAACGCGCTCTCGCTCGCTCCCTCGGCAAATAATCATCTCGCGTGCTTTTAATTAAGTTCCCCCGTCCCTTTCTTCCGCCAAAATCATCCCTCGCTAGTTCCCCGGGCTGTGTGTGTGTGTGCGCGCGCGTGTCGATATATATATATATATATATATATATATACATGCACGCGGTAAAGATGTCCTGCGCGGAATTCCGGAGCTTTTCCGCCCGGCGCTGTTTGCCGAGTGAATTAGACGTGCCGCTCAACGCGTGTTGCGACGGGCGCGTGTGGTTTGTCGAGAAAAGAACTCGTCGAATCTCTCGGCCACCAGCGTATACATGCAAAAACTATGGAAAATTACGCAGTGAGAAGGAAAATGGTACATATAGCCTCCGCAACCGAGGGAACGGGCCACGTACATGATGCAGGTAAACGCGTGTAAGAGCGGTATATCTTCCTCCCGAGTAGATAAGCCCATGTGAGACGCGCCAAAGATAAGAGAGCGAGAGAGGCGCGACAGAAGGTGCAGTGCACAATAACGCAATTCATTACGAAGACTAGGTGTAATGGGTATGGTATGTATATATATATATAATATACGGCAGGAAACGTGGGTCGTACAAGCGTATGCGCTCACGTGCGACGATTATTGCGCGCTCGGGTCGCACGAGAGAGCAGGAGGGCTGTAAACAAAATCGTACGTGCGGCTAGACATCGTGGATTAATCCTAGAAGCGCACATGTTTTAAGTCGGAGGTTTTTTTTTTTTTTTTTTTTCTTTCTTCTCTGATTTGCAAAATGTTTGGAAAACACGTTATATAGGTACATGCCGATTTTTTCAACACACCGCACAATAGCTGAAACATCGATCGCGAGCTTCGGCTTTCAATCGAACGTGTATACTATATATAGCTTACTTCCAGTATTGTATCCAAACTTTGGCCAATTTGAGGTGACAGTGTATTGTATATAGAGAGCGACAAAACGCAGCCGATTTATCGATATCTGTACAGCCAACGCGACGGGGTCCACCCTTTTGGTTGGCAGCATTGCATTAGCTGCACAGCCATCCTTGGGATGTCTCGAGGTTGCCCTGATGCCTATACACGCCGGAGTAAATTGAATTTGGACGTGGCTCCTCCGAAACTGATAGTACGAGTGTATACGTTGTACCCACCGCACCAGCCAGGCTTGACACCGTCTCGCGCAAGCTCGATTAGCCTTTATTATTTAGGACCACTGAACTCGCAAGCCACGCTCCTTTCCCCTCCTGTTCCAGGATATGCGTAAACACTCGGATGACGGAGGTGCTGTGCTTTAAAGGTTTATCGGACAATCTTTTATTTTTTTTCAAGGTGAAGCGAAACAAAGGTCAATACGAGAGTTACAGCGAAGAGAAATATTTCGATGAAACGAAGCTGTATTTAGACAGACGAGCAAACTCGCGGATGTACCGATACGAACTCTTGAAAAAAAAGAGAAGGGATACTTTTTATTACATCTCTGGCGAAAAAATTTGTACACGAGCCGCTGCGTTCCCTGACACTGGGTAAATAACAGTAGCCCCGGGAGATTTACGTGTAACACACGCTTGTACATGGGTGCGCAAATCAAATTAAAATTCAGCCACTGCGCGAGCAAAGTATAGTACACACACAAAAATGAAAACGTGTGTGTGTAGGTACGGGGAAAAACGTTGCGCTTTACGAGTACCTGTACCGTTTGATTGCGAGAAAGAGCCCAGCGGAGATTAAACACGCGATTTTTGTACCGAAACTTCTTTTTTTCCTCCGATTCCGAGAAAATTTTCCGCTCGACGTGTACCACAGTTCTAACGCTCCCTTCCCTGTTGGGGAACGCGTTTTTTCACCGCAGCCTCGGCGCTTGATGAATTCCCCGCGCGATAATCGCTTACCGATTTTTCAACGAAACATACCGATCGCCGGCTGATGTTTACCGAACGTAATCTATTTTCGTGCGAAACATGTATGAGTATTTTAAAAAGACGAGGAAGAAGAACGAGCTCCAAGCTAGCCCCACCCCTTGAAACAATAAACGCGCATGTGTGGAAGAAACGAGAGAGGGAGGGCGCGCGTGCACGCGGTGTATTGTTTATATTATCGGAAGTACACACGCGCCGTACGTTTTTAGCGCTCATCGTTTTGTTTTCGCTACAGCCGATAAACATTGCCTGCTCGGCGCTTGGTGAGAGAAAAAAAAATCGGTTGGCCAGCTCGAACCCTCCTCCCCCTCCCCCTCCATTGATATGGGCGTCTAAGAGAAAAGTTCGCAACTGCCCTTGGGGGAAAGTCTCAAGGTCGCGATCGAGTGTACGTATTGTCACGGATCGTAGGTGAAAGGGGAACAACACGACTAGGCAGCTCCAAAGTTGAGCTAGCCACCCTCGACTCTTGTCTACCCCCTTGCCCTTAAATTATAAACAGTGTCTATGTATGTATCATATGGCTATATGGTTGCGAACACGCGTTCGGCTCCTTTGGAAACTATATACTATATTATGTTCGAGGGTGGACTGGGTGTACACATGTATGTATATGCCATTCCATTCAGAGGAGGAGACTTGAATCCCAAGTTGGCTCTTTGTCATAGTTTTGCTTAAGTTTCCCTCTTCTCGTCCCTCTTGGACGTTTTTTTCAGTATAATCACTATACGTCGAATTGCTCATGGGACGAGAAATCGCGGTAACGTCTCACCACCCACGCAACGCGTGTATACCCATATACGACGTAAAAAGCTCTTCTCGATTACGGTAAGGAGAGATCGGTTGGCACATGTACATATGTTTTCTCGCGAGGATGGTATGCGAGACGAGCGCACAGAGTAAGTGTATACCTATACAATAAGTGCCTCCGTTTTTCCAAGTACACGTGCGTGTGCAGTATAATTACAGGATCAGCTGATGATTGTGTCAACCCCCCGACACATAATACCTCGTGTATGCACGCACGCGGAGCCAGCAGCACCTCTCTTTCTCCATGGAACAAAAAATGTATGTATGTGAGGGTGCAACAAATGTACCTAGCGTGTAATACTTACGCGTCCGGGAGTCTAAGCGCCAGCTGGCACCGTCTAAATTGTAGGCCTTCCCCTCTGCCCTGTACTTTCCGACGATAAGCGAGTAATAGCGACTAGTACATATAATATTATATACCTACTCCGGTTACGAGTCAACAGCCATGAATGCGCGATAGCGTCGTCGCCGTGTGTTCCGATGAACGTAAATTGATATACTTATACTTGGCTACTCGTAAGTACACGACGCTTTACCCTAAACCTCGTAGGATATTTTGATGATTTTCGGCTAAGCTTTTTTTTTCCACAATCCCCATATCTAGTCCTCCTTTCCCCTTTTGTTCCACGTCTCTTCTCGTTTCCGCGGTTCATATAATATACACACGTGCACGTGGCAGCGTGCCGTTAAATCGACGCGGGGCGGTTTCAAATTCAATTCAAAAACGCAAAGGGCCCATCTCTCGCGTGAAAAGGAGTCTGTTTTCGGCGCATACCATGGCGGGGTTTTCATTTGAAAAAAAAGGCGTGGGAGGGCCGCGCTCGTGCGGCGCACGACTCCCTTTTTTTAATTTTACTTGCTCGTATAATATGGGCATGTGAGCAGTATCGGAGCGAAGGGCGTTTTCGCTTTTATACGCCGCTTATGAATAATTTGATTTGGATTCTCGCCCGCTCGGTGTACAATTCTTGCAATTGATGGTAATGCAAATAAGTTTTACGATACAAAATAATCGATCAAACTCGTTTTTTTGTATCGTTTCTCGATATAAATTCATGGAATCTGTGCCAAGACGAGAGAATTCGATTGCAGTCGAGATTTTGCGAAAAATTTAACACAAGATCAACTTGCGATTCGATAAAACTTTAATCGCGGTGTGTCTCTCGTGACTGCATTACGTATACGTAAAAGGCATCGATTTTCTGTTAGGAAATAAGAAATTTGATATTGCCAACTCCGGTATTCCAGAGCAGTTTTCGTTATTTAACGAAAAAAAGAAGAAAGAAAAAGAAAAAAAAAAAAAAAAAAAGAATGATCAAATTATCGGACCGAACAACAAGCACAATTAAAATAAGAGCGTGTCGCAACGATCTTCTCCGCAAACACTGCGATCAGCGACCCGAGCGGTATGATACCTGTTGTTTTGGCCTCGTTTCCCAAATCGGGNAAAAGAAAAAAAAAAAAAAAAAAAAAAAAAAAAAAAAAAAAAAAAGAATGATCAAATTATCGGACCGAACAACAAGCACAATTAAAATAAGAGCGTGTCGCAACGATCTTCTCCGCAAACACTGCGATCAGCGACCCGAGCGGTATGATACCTGTTGTTTTGGCCTCGTTTCCCAAATCGGGGCTCTGATAAAAGATAAAAAAAAAAAAAAAAGAGAGGAGGTGTTGCTTTTTTTTCCTTTGTTTACTAAACATTTTCGAGCAGCCCAGCGGGAGCTCTCTACTATATAACCGATATCTTAGCATTGAAACGAAGAAATATAAAATCGGCCATCATACTATCGGCTCACCTGATCGTTATCCTGCTGATCTTGACCGTAGAGAGACGCGTCGCCGTTGGGCGTTGTCGAGGCGGAGGGTCGCTGGGACGTTGACAAGTTTATAGCTCCGTCACCGTCCGTGTCATGGTCCATTATGCCATCGTCCTGCAACGAGAAGCACCAAGCCCTTGACTTTGGGAGGAAAAAACCCTTACACCTCGAGTTTCGATGGAAAGAAAGAAAAAAAAAACTTGTGCAAAAACACACCAACGCGAGAATAATAGTTATATATTTCTTGAGCGAGTGACGTGCGAAATATATAAACTTTGGTCCGAATGAATTCAAATATTTTGAAGTCACTCGGTTATTGATTGTTTGCACGCGAGGAGGCGCGTTATTGTTCTTTCTTTCGAAAGCGCGCGTTCAACCGGGAGCAACAAAATAATTGCACCAATCGTTTCCGCGCTTCGTTATGATGATGTATATACATATGTTTAGCGAAATTTTCGTTTGCTCGCTGTTTACGCGCCAGGTTGCAATTTTTTAAAACAATTGCGTTAAACACTTTTTTTTTTTTTTTTTTTTTTTTTTTTTTAAATCGACGCACTTTTACGCTCGCTTTTACGTGTCATCGATGGTGATGATCGAGGTTCGCAAAATCGTTCCCACAGCTCACGATCGGTGCACCACTTTGGAAACCCTTAGAGACGAAACCATTCACTTTTCCGGCACTCCCGCGCTCACTTGTCGGTGCCATAAATCCTTGCACCAAGAAAAGTGCGAAACAATAAAAATCTCAACACTTTCGACCACCCGAGCGCAACCACCCCATCACCGCGTGGTGCGGGTATGTCACTGTCACGTGGACGGGGCCGTTACTTCACCAACCCACCCCCGCGTCCAATGGCAGGATAAAGCGAGCTAAATCCACATACGAGAGAACACACGTTTGCGGGTGAAAACTTACGGGCCATGTAAACGCGGCACAGCGCTGCCGAGGACTAAGCAACACTAATAAAAGCAGCGCTCCGAGAGTCTCGCTCGTGTTGTACCGGCAGCCGAACGAAAAGAGAAAAAAGGAGAGAGAGAGAGAGAGAGAGAGAAAGAAAGACAGCTGGGATGGATGGATGGATGGATGGATGGCGCGCACGTCGGGGCTGCTCGTGTGTGTGTGTGTGTGTGTGCGTTGCTTATTGTGTAAATATAAACAAATATCGCCGACCAACAGGCCTATCTCTCTCTGCTTCTTTTAGCCTCCCCCCCCCACCGATGCTTTGCCCCCTGTCGTATCTTCTCCCTCTCTTATTCGTTTCTCAGTTCTCTCTCTTTCTGAATGTGCGTATTATGNTGCAGCCGGGGTTAACGAGGGGTGCAGCAGCGGGAATCTCGTTGGAACGTTAACAAAGTTAGCCGGCTCGAGAGAGAGAGAGAGAGAGAGTCCCTGCAAAACGCACGTCATCGCGCGTAACGACCGATTAGTGCGGCTGCGGTATGCGCGTTGTATATATATACGTGGTGTTGCCGGCTATGTACACATTACCGATCGCACACGTGCTCCTCCACCCTACATACACCGTGACTCGATTCTCTTTTTCTCTGTTCTTCTTGTTCTCGTTTTTTTTTTCTCCGCCTGGTAGGTATATAGGCTTGTCAATGACCGCGCGCGCCGTGAGACTGTATGGCTCGAGAGAGAGAGAGAGATGCTGCCTCTCCGTATGTGCTTATGTTTGTGTCCCCGATGCAGGTTATTGTTGTTTTCTTCTTGGGCCTCCCCCCGTTGTTTTTTCTCCCCGCCCCGTGTCACCCCATCCTGAAAGCCCTTCGCTCCCTTTTTCGAAAATGCAAATCCGCGCGCGGGACACTTTTTTTTTTTTTTTCCTTCGTTTTTTCTATATTTATCCTGCATCATAGGTATACTTAAGTAACATTTTAGCGTGCGAAAACACCCAATCAAGGGACGGGGGGTGGTATCGCAAACGGCTCTTCTAATTAAGAAAAAAAAGTAAGTAGACATATAAGTACACAGTGACAAAACAACGGGAGGGAGCGAAGCGGCAAAGGTTTGCTCACACCCGGGGTTGTAGAATGTGATGAAGCTCAGTCGATCGTTGTAATGATTTTTGTTGATTTCCAATGCGCGTTCGCTCGTAATCGCAAACTACTTGCTTGTAATGTATTTATATACCGGGACAGATGACATACCACATGATGATGATGGACTGTTGCAGCGGCTCCCCATGGCAGATGCGAGAGAGACCGCTCTGTTTACGCACGTAACGAGGGCACGACTTGCCCCGTGGGGGGGTGGGGGGTGGGCTTGTGATAGTGGTACACCGTGTGTCATTGGAGAAGGAGCGAAAAGTCGTGGTTTTACCCTCCCCGATCGGGAGCTATATGGGTTCTGAAAGCGGCCTTTGACAAAACCTCCAGAGTTTCGTCACGGGGACAAAGCAAAGGCGGGGGATCGTGCGTCATTTACCCTAGTAGTGCTACATATGATAATTTTACAATCCGATATTTATACATGGGCTATCGTACATTTTACGTGCAACCGGTACACAGAGCGCATTGTTCCTCGCATATAATATATGTATACACACGGGCACTTGACGCGTCACAGACGAGGCATATCTGTACGAGGCTCTGGTGGATTGAGACTGAGCAGAGCTCGGCTTCTCGCTTTTTCTTCGTCTTCGCCTCGCGATGGGTACATATATATACATATATATATATATATATACATATAGGTACGCGAGTGTTTGTTCAATGGGAGCAAAAAATAATACAACGAAAAAATCGAAGGAGAGGAGGGAAAAAAAAAAATTTGATGCGAGAGAGCGATGGGAAATTCGTATATATGTATATGTATACAAGTACAAAAGAGAGTTCGTGGAATATACGAGGCTGACGCGGCTTTGGGTGTATACGTCGAAGGGGAGAGTTGTGTTATTTTCTAATGCACGAAATGCATCTGCTGTTTATTCACGAAACAGGTTTATTTATAACCCCACGCGAGTAAACGTGGAGAGATCGGCATCGGGAGAGAGGCGAAACCGAGAGTATATGTATTGTACACGTAGGGGGTTTTCGTGTGTACGTGGATAGTTGATCCGGCGATGGGCTGTATTTTCGGCTTACCGCGGGTTTACCTTTATAGTTTTTTGCGACTGCTCATGTGGTTTTACATTAAATTGTTGTTGCAAGCTCCGTGAAAAACTGCCGAAATTGAAGGACGTGACGAAAATCGCTAACTAGGCAGGTGCGTGCGCTCGAGAGAGAGAGAGAGAGGCGTACATTACTCCCTATAGGTTGGTCTTTTCGGTCCCTTTCGTTCAAGCACCGACTGCCCAACATTTACAGGTATATATATATATACATACACGCGCGTGTGTGTATGCATGGAAAAAGGAGAAGAGGGTCATAGAGAGGGAGAAGAAGTAGCAGAGCAGCCCAACGCCGCGGTCCTATGACAACAAAAAGCCGGGGCAAAAATGGGCGGCGTGCCCATACGCGCTGTATACACACACGCGCGGAGTAAAGCAGCCGGGCCCTCGTTGTGCGTGTGTACTAAATATGTATTTATTAAACAAACAACGGCCCCGTCAAAGAAACCCCGCACCCGAGCCTCTCTCTCTCTCTTCCCAGATATCCGTGCCGCTCGTCCGCGAGGAGCAACTCGTTTTTTTTTTTTTTTTTTTTTTTTTTTTTCCATTTCGAAACTCTTGCCGCTGTCGACTCCGTTTTCTCCGAAATGTTTTATCAGAAGCGGGTCCGAATGTTTTTTTCGAAAACCAACAATTGCCCCTTGAAAGCTCCGCTACCCGGCCTATTTGTTCGGGCGACTGTCTCGTACACATGTATATACATATAGTCTTCACTGATGTATATTTCGGGAGAAAAGCCAATAATTGCCGAAGAATCAAGTTAAGCAACTGCATTGGGGCTACATACAGTTTGACGGTGAAAATAAAAGAACACGACAGAGTTGCCCCGCAGAGAGAGAGAGGAGGGGGGGGGGAAGGAGGCACTTAATCGCGCGTAAGGAGCTTACACGGGGACCCCAATACGGATCCTGCGCGCCGTATGCGACAATTAGTCGCGAAAAGAGAGCCATGGGTGAGTATACGAGTGTATGCGTGTGCAGCGCCTGCAACAACGACGACGACCCGTTGCGTGGTTTTCTCATGGGAGCAAAGAGCCAAACAATGCGCCCAGGAAGGAAGAGAGCCTATATAGCCAAGCTGGCCCAAATTACCGATGCTCGAGAGAATGAAATTGTCGGTGACGACTGTATCGGCGAATACATTAACTTGTCATTCCCTTCCGCGCGGTGATTCGGAAGGTATATTAATATAATGTGCGTGCGTGTGTGTATTTACGGGGTGACGGGAGTCAGGGCGAATGAGGCGGAAGGTGATCGATTTATCGCTGCGTACTGGATGACGCGTGAGCGAGAAAACACAAACAAAATCGTCAACGAGGAGCAATTATTTTTACCGGTCGTAACGAGAAGGGGGGGGGGCACGGTTGGCACTCGAGTGATTAGTCCGAGAGAGGAATCGGGCCTTCCACTCGATTATCCATTCGCACGTTCGCTGACGCGCGTATCACGCCTGCCTGCCTTGGTAACAATAAAACGCCCGTGTGGTCCCAGGGCGCGTCATCGCTGGACCGTGACCGCGTTGTGAGAAAAGAAAGGGAGAACTCAAAGAATTGTGAGGGGGGGGGGGGAATGGTAGGTCCACGGGGGCTAATTTGGCGAGTGCGAGAAACACACCGGGAGGCAGCCTCGAACGAAAAAAAAGGGACTGGCGTACACGTACGTGTGGACGGTCGAAGCGAGAGATAAATTCCTCGGGTGCCTCTACACCCGTGATACACACGTGTATACGTGTTTAGCGGGCGAACGTGTTTGCGTACGAACGAACAATTTAACGAAGTAAGGGGGGAGGGGAGAAAAAGGGAGCGCCGTCCCGGTCTCTTTTGCGGAGAAAAGTAAGAAGAGATAATGCCGCGCGTCGTCACGTGAAAAGGGTGGAAACGTCCCCCCCCCTCTGCCTCCGCCTCTTTATATGATAACAGTAGAGAGTGTAGCAGTCGCTGGCGCTTCTCCTTGTCTTCCCCCCTTCTAAATAATAAACGAGAGGATTTGAGCATACACGAGT